GCTGGGAACCACAAACTGATAGAGCAGGGCTGGGCAAAATACAACCTCTGGGCTGCATCTGGCCCACCAACTGATCGTATCTGGCCTGCAGGTCGGTGCCTGCAAAGTCATGAGATCCAGCCCATGGGGAGCTGGTGGCTCCAACTGCTGCATCATGCTGGGCAGGTGGGAACATTTCAGCCCCATCCAGTTTACACCAGCTCTTGGCCTGTGCACCAGAAGCAGCACTGGGTGCATGGCATCAGCTGTGGACTCTGCTAGCAGGTTCCTGCTGGGGACTGGAGCGACTGCCTGGGACTGCAGCCGATGCACTGACATAGTGGGCTCCGGGCGGCAGCAGCCAGAAGGGCCACAGCAATGGCAAGTGCACCTGCCACCAAGCCCCGTTTTTTTCCAGCACTGGTCGCTGCCGCTCATCATGGGCAGGGGGGCAGAGCTGCCTGTCTCTGTCCTCCCCCCACTCCCCTCTCAAATCATCCTACACCTATGGCATGTCCCTGCAGCTTACCAAGCTCCTAGCACATGCCAGAAGGAGCACCAGGTAGGTACTGGCATCAGCTGTGGACACAGCCAGCAGGTTCCTGCTGCAGATCAGGGCATCTGCCCAAGCCCCTCCTTGGGGTAGAAAGGCAACCTGGAGGTGGCACTGGTGGCAGTGGGGGCCCTGGCTGAGCTGCCCCTGATAAAGCTGCTGCCCACACCCATACCAGCTCCCCACCCACTTATGGCCCCATCCTGCATAGGGAGGTTTGGCGAGTTGTCGTGCAACGTGGGATAAAACGGTGTTGACTCAGCTTGCGACAGCTCCTCAAAACTCCCTATGTGGCCTGCAGGCCCAAATAATTGCCCACTCCTGTGAGAGAAGCAGCTGTAGGCCACCTGAGGCCTGGTCGTGGGCTCAAGAGACAAGACTGGGCTAGTACTAGAACATTACATTTGACTTATTTTGCTTTCCTGCCATCCATCTAGACTTAGACTTTAGTATGAAGTTATGATGTAGGTACTGGTGCATCACAGAGACCAAGTTACAGACATTTAACATGTGTTGGAAAGGTCAGGAAAGGTACACGATGATTACATAGGGCTCTTCTAAAAGTTGCAAGCAGGGACATCCTTCCATAACTGCCACATTCACATGGGGACATTGAAATGTCTATAATTATTCTGGGTAATTCAGCCTTCCCTCTCTGTTCTTGGAAGCCGCAAGTCTGAATAGCAGCAAGGAGGTTTAAGGTACTAAGCAGATGTATGCTAAATGTTAAATACTCTGGATGTCTGAAGGGATGCTGGAAAAAAAGGCTTAGGACAAAGCTTGACCTTAATGAGGAAAGCATGCCAGTAGCTGTGAAAAATACAGCAGACAACAAGTACGTTTGTCAGGCTAAAGGAAAACGACTTACGGTGGGATACCTAATGAAGGGGAGGCAAATGTCTGCTAATTTTGAGTAGCTTGGCACAAGAAATGTAAGTAGGACCCATCCTGGTGCTGTAAGGATACAGGAAGCTCTAAGGCCAATTCAGTTTCTCCTCTCCCAGGAGAAACCACAAGTATACAGATGTTCAGGGTCCTTCTCCCAGAGCAAAATTGGCCACTTCAGGGAAAAAAAACAAACCCAGAAACAACCAGGGTTAAATTTCTCCTTGGAGAGTAAATGTCTATACACATTCTTCTGAGAAAAGCCACCACACAATCCTCAGGTATCCCAGGTCTCTTTGCTCCCCTGTACTCAAGAGACTGTGTCACTCGCTGGACTCTGCTGCTCCAGCCAAGCAGACAGCAAAACACACCCCTTCAAAACCACACACTGTGCTGCAGATACAGACAGGCTAACTGAGTAGTCTGGGTCAACTGAACAGAGCTACCCTGTACACTGCTGCCATCTGTCTCTGGGAAGACTGAAGAAGTCTGCAGAGCATGCTGGCATGTATACGCAGGTTCTCCCTGGCTATGTAACATCAGCACATCAAGCTCTCTCCCCGTCAAGGTCTCAGCAATTTAAATGTCTGTTTCCGGGTAAGTTATTATACTAGGAAAACAAACCTGGAAAGTTATCCCAGATCATTTGGGGGAGAGAGAGAGAGAGAGTGCACGCGCATCTTAAAATGACGTCTGACTGAGTGGAGACACTGTATGTCTGTACTGTAGACAGACTGCACATTTTTTAAATCAAATTTGAAGCTGGAGTTAAACAAGTTTTTATTTAAGGTAACATCAAACATTCTCAAGTAGATAAAACCTGAAAAAACAGACAGCCTGAACAAATTGCATGTACCTCCCCCAAAACTGCCCCCCCTCCCCCCAAACAAGTCATTAAACAACTCTAAGACTGTTAGCACTGAGATTTGCAAAGTTCTAAGGAAGGTAAAAAGAAGCTTCTTGCACTTTTCTAACAGGCAAATAGATACGAAGTTGTCATTCTCTTCCCCTTCCAACAATGTTAAGTAGTGTGCATCCACCCTGGCTCATTTGCCCAGAGTTTCTGTTGGCTCTACTGCCTCTTGGCTGACTAACAATTTCAGCAGCTCCAAGACCATCTTCTCTCTGGAACACCCCTTCTGTGGTTTCATGCCTGTCATTCTTGCTGCTGCAATTGAAGATGTCACCTGATCAAGGTCACAGATTTAAGGGGGAGAGGGAAGGGGAGAAGAGAGAGAAAGAGACAAGGAGTATGAGAGATTAAAAACAGTAATGCACTTGGAGAGAAAGAGAAAATAGTGCAGCACTCACCAAAGCTGCCTTCCTCAGTCCTTGCTGCTCTCCACTGGCTGTGACTGACCCTGGCTTTGGCTGTCCTTGCCGTTGTAACAGTGGCTAGCTGCCCAAGGGTTCTTGGGTTCAGCATCACAATCTCCTTTCTCCCCATCTCTGGGATCATTGTTCTCACTGTGGGGTGTGGAGGATCCCACGAAGTATCCCTCAATATGTCCATTTTCAGGAGCAAGTTGGTGGTTGGGTCCCTTTCCCTCCCTTCCCATGGGTGACATGGAGTTTGTTGAAAAAGGGGCACATAACAAGGGAAGTTTCACAGTGCTTATTCTACAAGACTACTTTGTGACATGCCTGTTGGAGATCATTGGCCCAACATCTCCTCATCCCACTCATCCCCCTTTGCCTACATGCCTACCCCTTTTCCTGTGTGCTGTCTTCATATACATCTCAGTTTCTACATTTCCCAAGGAGTTTGGCTTGGACAGCCCATTCTTCCTACCACATTTAAGAGATCCATCATCTCTTTCCTGCACCAATAAGGAGCATGGAGCTTGGCTGATTACTTGTCCTTGGTAGTACCCATGAAAGCCACAGATGTACACATTCACATGCACTGTCAGGGAGTAAGCATTTTCCAAAACACTGAGGCTTGGAGGGGTGGGGGGGACAGAGGGCTATTGGCTTAAGTTGGTTCGGATTTTGGCTAGCAGAATTCAAATACTTATCCAGAATGGTTATTGCAAGACTTAGTAGGATTGATAAAAGTGAGGGACTCTCCGTATGTGCTATCATCTGCTATATGCCAGCAGAAGCCGTCTGCTGCTTAGAGGGGTAGTGTTACCTAGCTGACAGAAACCTGGGATTTGTCACTATAAGGTTACTTTACATATAGAAACATATAGAGTTCAGTCAACAAAAAACTTTCCAGTGTAGATGAGCCCCCTTAGTGTTGAGTATCAGATCTTAGCATGAAGAACACATTGGCACCATAAAAGGTGAAACATACTCCTGTTACTCTTGCCCGTGTGTAGACGGAATGAGAAGCATGTTTGCACGACACTTTAAAGTGGGCTAAATGCTTTTGTACCACTTTAATGGTGTCACTGTTTGCATGCTTCAGCAGCATATTGCGCATTAATTCCAGCTGCTGTAGGAAATTTGGTGGCGTAACATGCTTTAAATGACTTGGGGCGCAGCAAACTAAAACTCCTTTTTTGTAGTTTTGCCCCTACATTTGCCCCTACAGCTGTGAACCAAAGCATCGGGCTCCATGCAGCTCAGGGGCTCTGCAGGAAGCCCTGCAGGCAGCCTGGCAGCAGCCTGGGAAAGCAGGCTCTGCCCAAGAAAAGCAGCAAGCCTGATCTCTACCCCCTCACCCCCGCCGCCTGCCTCCCTGAGCTGTGTGGGGGCCTCTGTGGCTGCGGTACCCCCTGGGACCACTCGACCTGGATGCCACCTGGGGAGAGGGGCCGCCACTGCTACAGAGGGAAGCACCAACCTCCCCATAGCCCAGGGACCATTCCGCCCACCAGCAGCTTGCCTTCCCCTCCCCGCTGGAGAGGCAGGTAAGTCAGCAAGGTGTGTACACGACATGGAGGTTTAATCAGCCCTAAATTGAAGTGGTGTTTTTTAAAACCCACAGCTTCAATTTAGGGCCCCTGTTTCGTCTACACACGCCCCTTGTTATCAATCCTCCATGGATAGAGAAGGGATATCAGGTCTCAAGAACTAAGCGCCCAGTTTCTTTCAATAGTTCTAAATATTCTCACACAAGAAGCATAAAAGCCTCCATCATCACAAAAAACACAATTCAATACTGAATGCTTTTGCTTATCCTCCTAAAAATAGTACTGTGCTTACAGGATAAAGTTATCAATGTTTGCTTCAAAAGTGTAGTTGATGTAGGTACAGACTTTCCTATTTTTCTGGAAATCATGAACTTCAACAGTTGAAGAAATCTGAAGCAATTAATAAAATCTTCAAGCCAACATCTTATATCTTAGAACCAGATCATAGATTTAGCTTGATTATATTGTCATGTGAATCACCTCGCAATATTGTTCTATTTGCCCATCTGCACCTAAGGATGTTTCTTTTATATTAGAAATCTGACATGCTGTAATTTTGCAAACTTGTTCTTTACATATTTCCAGATTGTGCAATGAATAAACAACAGTGACAAATCTCCCTAGATAATATGCTCCAATTATAAAATAACAAATCCAGGAAACAATACTGTAGAAAATAATATTACTTCAAAAGGTCAACTTAGATAAAAATTAAGTCTTACCTCCTGTTCCAAGAACTTTCAAGAGTTCAAAGTTTTCAATTCCCACCTTCTCTGCATGGCCTGTCAAATTTGCTGAAAAAGAAAGAAACTCCCATGTCAAAATTGTCACATATGTACCACAATGAAATGTCAAATTAATTGACAAATTACTGTAACTTGAGCAAAAATTTTCACAGAAGAAAAAGCAACACAAAAAGGATATTTAATACTGAATGCTATAACTATTTTAATTTGAAAAGCATGGTGGATCAGACGTTGGCCAGCAGCGTTCATTGAGGCTAGGCAGATGCTCTATGTCCTCCAGCCCATGCCCGGCAGCACAGAGGCAGCCTGAACTGCAAACAAAATCGTAACAAAGCGCGGCTCAGCTCAAAGAACTTGAAAACTGCTGGCCTAAGGTTTAAAGGGCTCTTCTTTAGATAAGTAGGTAAGTCATGAGGTCCATATACACAAAATGTCTCAAAGAAACAACTTTATCTTTTTGGGATAACATCATACACTACCTTAGACGATAGACAACTTTTTGCCGTTCGATGGTGGTGGATGCAGAGGCCTACTTAAATAACAACAGTAAGACTGCTTTGCTAAACTGCACGCTTCTTGAACTAAAAAAAGTATAGTTCCTTTTCCACAACACTGCAGCAAAGCTAATTAGCTCACCCACAATGCCAGAGGAACTATGTAGACAAATACTTGGGGGGGAAATTACTATAGTTTGAATCATGGCTGCCTTCCTCAAATAATTTGTAGGACAAAATAAAAACAAAAATCACAGACCATCCAACATTACATTGTTCTGTGAGCAAATTAAAATATTACATTACATAAGACAACTTTAGATAATACTTTGAAAAGTATTAATCATTAAGAAGAGCTGGGTACTTGCCAATTTAACTGAAGCAGCACATACAGGGGTTTATCTATACCATCTCTAAAATGATCTCAAGACTGCCATCAAAAGACAAGCCCCAATCGCTCACTCCTGCTCCACACACATCTCATGCTGAAGACTGTTAATCGGCTGGTTTTTCTGGAGCATGCCCAAAGATGTTCTCAGGGTTTTAGTCTCAGATGTGATCCTGAGAGTGCTACTCGCTGCACCTGACACCATTTTCACAGCAACTACACATTTTCCCCCACAACAGGAACATTCTACTAGGACCTATACTCTGTAAGCACCATGCATAGAGCAGAAGCAAGCAAGCAAGCAAGCAAGCATAGCTTATAATTAGAGGTCTACCTAACTCAAGGCAGCAGCCAGCCAATTTCACATACAGATCGTGCGGCCAGCCATTTTGGCAGGCAGAGTGCAGCAGCTCTGCCTCATTGCTGATTAGTGGTGAGGGACAGGACCGTACAACAGACAGCTCTCACAACCAATTAGTGGTGAGGGGCAAGGGCAGCAGCCATCTTGTCATGCCAGAAGCCCCCCCTCCCTCCTCTTCCCCCCTGGACGGCTATATGGTGAGGCTGCTATGGCCACAGACCGCTGGCTCTCCAGAGAGCAATTTCATATTTTAGGTAAGCGTTTTTTTGTTTTTTTAGGGAGCCCACAAAAAGTGCAAAGCCTGTGCTTTTTCGCAGACCCTGCCCAAAATCACAGGTTCCATGAAAATCCCAAAATTGCGATTTCAGTAGACCCCTACTTATAACTGATGGCAGTCAAGGGCCTTTGCAGAGACAGTATAATCATACTCTAAGAGTCTGCATTTTGCTTATTTGTTTTAAAATGCAAGCCACTTACTTTTGATAGACCTTGGAAGGCTAGTAAAAATGGTTTTACTTCTTTCCTCCTCCCTCCCACCAAGACTAAGCACAATAATATAGTAAAAATTTAAATAAATGAAATAAAAACCAGACCTCCAACCTTTTTTTTTTTACATTTCAGTTTCTAATCTGCAGGCAGAACCTAGAAAATGACCCTTGCAGCTGAATAGGAAGGATAAAACTGGCAGTCTTCACATGCTAGTCTACTTTGTGTCTTTGAGCAAACAAATCTGGTTCACTTTCTGACTTATAAGGCAGTCCACTATAAAAGGCATGTGAATCTGCAGCACAGAAAAATTACCTCTGAATTAACTACTGGTAGTAATAACACACTGCACTGATAATTCTCCATTTACAGCTCTCAAAGCATATTACAAACAGTATATGTAATGCCTGTCTATTTTCTGTTTTCAGGATTTAAGTTTTTTGGAATACATACACTGCATTTACTCACATACCACCCACATCTTCCCCCTGCAAAATCAGCCCAAAACGGGTGTCTGTTTTAAGCAAGGAAGCAGATTTCTATGCTGGAATGGAGCATAGAGACACTGGAATGGCTGCCAGGGGCTCTGCTGCCTTCCCTTCCCTGGCACAGGTAGGAGCAGATTCTGCTGTTCAGTCACTTGCTCTGTCCTTGCAAACTCCACAGCTCAAGCTTTAACCTCTTTGCAGGCACTGGCCATTTGACAGTGCCCACGATGGGGTTAAAGCTTGAGCTGCAAAACTAGAAGAAGGGTAAGTGATGCATATAGGCAGGTGCATTTGGGCATGGTGAGCCCATGTCTGGCAGGGAAGACTGGGGAGGTGTTGGGGAAGTAAATAAATTCCTTCATTCTGCCTCCCCAAACAAGGTGCATGTCTTATTTGGGGGCTTCCTGTAGGTGACAAAATAAAGTATTTTTTGTGGTTTGTTTGTAAAGCACTTAATACGAGATGGAAAGAGGTCTCAAGTACAGGTCTACTAAGGAGTGTTCTGGGTCCAAAGTTTTTAAACATTTTTATTCATGATTTAGATTCAGAAAGTGAGAGCTTCCTGATCAAGTCTGCAGAGGAGACAAAACTGGGAGGGATTCCAAACATTCTGGAGTAAAGAATCAGAATTTAAAAATGTCTTTATAAATTAGAGAACTGAGCTATGGACAACATGAAATTCAATAAAAAAGGACAGATGTAAGGTACTATGTCTAAGGAAGAAAAAAGAAAAACCAAATGTACAAAATACAGATTGGGAGATTTGGCTAGGCCCTTCTTTGCAGTACAAACGCTTTGGTGAATCAACATGAGTCAGCAGTCTTAGGCAGTCATTGAGGGGGGAGGACCTGCAATTCTGAGTTGCAGTGCTGTGTGTTTAACATAGGAGTTAATAATAGGAATCTTCTCAATGATGGTTAGTACTCAGATGGAAGCACCATGCAAGTTAGCCCTCCAGCATTTTAAGATTGTAGACAAACTGGAGGAGATCCAGAGGCAAAGAACTAAGATGAAAAACAGGTTGGAATGCAAGGGGTTGGAGTCTAAGCTAAAACTGAAGGAACAGTGTGCTGAAAGGAAGCCATGATAATTTTCAAACACATGAAAGAACAGCCATTCTCCCTTGCCACACTTGGCAACTGTTGATCCTTCTGGATTATAGTGTATGCATTAGACGTCACCCTCTTTGAAACATATGCCTAGGCAGGAGTTTTGGAGCAGTGGAGGCTGCCCAGACCTTCCATCCCCTCTTTAGGCTACTGAGACAGAATCCAAAGGCCAGACTAGATCCAAACATTTGGTGCTTCCATGGCTGTATTTGTATAAATGTAGTTTGAATTGAACCCGGGTCTCCTGTCTGGCAGACAAGGATTTTACCACTGAACTACAGGGGACTCCCCCTTGCCACAGGGGATATTACATAAAGCAATAGGTTTGAACTACAGCAAGGCAGATTTAATCTTAGAGGAAGAACAAAAAACACTGCACACAAAAAGAAATAAACATATTTCTTACAGGAGTTGGAATGTTGTAGCCATGGCAGGCCAGGAAGCGTACCAGAAGCAAGAGGCTTTTCTGGCAATATCTTTTATTGAATTTTTTATAGTTGGGAGAGATTGTCAGACAAGGATTTGGACATGCTGTCCTTCAGGGTCAGAACAGCAGGACGATGGAACCAGCTGCCCAGGCAAATTGTAGAATCTCCTTTTTTCAAAAAGAAGCTGGACAAGCATTTGTCTGGGATGGCGCAGGAACAGCACACTGCATTTGTATGGGGGTTGGACTAGATCAGGGGTTGGCAACCCCTGGCATGCGTGCCAAGCATGGCACGCAAGGCCATTTTGCTCAGCATGCCAGAGCCAGGGCCGGCTGCAGCTGGGAGGCTGCAAACAGCTGCGCCAGGCTTCAGAGCCCCGGGATCAGCTCCGTACCCGGCGCGAGCATGCACACCTCAAAGCAGGCAGTGGGGAAGGGGCCCCGAGGCAGGGCAGGGCAGTACAGCCCACCGCGAGGTGCCCGTGCAGTCGCCACCAGCATGGAGCTGATGCCAGAGCTGTGGAGCCCAGCACAGCTGTTTGTAGCCTGCCCACTGCTTGCTGCTGCTGACCAGAGCCCACGCTGGCTACAAGCCGCTGCACCAGGCTCCAGAGACCAGTCACCAGCTCTGTGCCAGAAGCAGGGGAGAGACCAGCATTGCGCTGCCTCAGGCCCCTCCACCACCGCCTACTCCGACGCGCAGATGCACACGCCAGTACAGAGCTGATGCTGGGACTCCGAAGCCCAGCCCAGCTGTTTGGAGCCTCCTGGCTGCAGCTGGCCCCGGCTCTGGGTAGCTGCTGCCAGCCAGGAGCCCGGGCTGCTCCCAGCAGGCAGCTGGGATGCTGCAAGCCCTGCTGGGAGCAGCCCGGGCTCCAGCAGCTACCCAGAGCCAGGGTAGCTGCTGACAGCCCAGGCTGGGGGGCAGGGGCTTTGGGTGGGATAGAATACAGGGTGAAAAAGAAGCTGTCAGTGAAGAAGGAAATAGTTGGAAATCAAGAAGACAAAGGGCAGAAAAGTAGGGGAGGGGAGGGGCGGGGAAGGGAGAAAAGGTGGAGGAAAAGAAGAATGTAAGACGTCAGGTCAGGCAGGTACCTGGTGATTCAGGTGTCAGGCAGGTTGTAATGTGTCATGAATCCAATGTCTATATTGAGTCCATGATTTTTTGTATCCATACTAGAGATACTATACCTAATTTGCTAAGATTTTAAAATCTGATTCCTCAAGATCTTTCAAGGCTATTAATCAGTGGCTCACTAGAAAGTTAAAACATACCAATGCCTTGTATAAAAAGCTTTGCAAGGTTAGGCTACATCTTAAATTTATCACTTATCTGGGCCTGAAAACTGACCTCTCAAGCCAATCCTCAATGTGGTCTTTGCAAGGAAAACAACATTTTGGGATGGGGAAGAAGAAATACAGAATCACTCCAGTTATAATAACTTTTATTACAAATAGCAACTCTTTGAAGATACTGAAATTAGAAATGTTGGCTAAGGTCCTAGAAGATGCTGATCACTACATGTAGTCCACTAATCTAAACTAGTAATAAATTATACTTAATTTGCAGCTCTCTAATTTGTCACATAGATGAAACATACACATACATGCAGTCTATATAAGATTAGACAGAAGAAGGGAGGAGGTCACAAACACTGAAAGTGCCTTTTATTATTTGTAGGAAAGGTGGGTAATTCTTAAAGAACAGTTACGGGGTACTTCTCTGTACACTCATACTCCTGGAATATGGTACAGCATCAGACCGCAGAATGCCCTTGAAAACTGTACCTATTTGAGAGGTGCACATCCTTGAACAATACTGATTGGAACCCTACCATAAATAAAAGGGCCTACACACTCCCTCCACCCCAAACGGCAAAGTCTTGTTTATACTAAAATACAAATTTGAGCTAAAGAGGGAAATGGGCAGATAGTGAATGCACAGAAGCCACTTCTTAGTAACTGATCTCTAAGAGCAACTTCTCTCTTCAAGGGTCTCTGAATTCCCACTTGTGAGCAAACAGTGCTCTCCCAGGAGTCCTGGTTAAATATCCACTTTAGGACTGCCCTCCCTAACTGGGCATTACAATAAGATTTTAACTCCAAAAAGTAATGCTTGGTAAAGAGGCAGCTTTTTTTTTTTTTAAGCAATGAAGCATACCTAATGAGGCTATTATGGCTCTTGCAAAGTATGCCTTTAAAACAAGAGATGTGTGAAGTATAGCTAAAGTGTAACAAATCCTCTAAACATCTCTTCATACAATTAGAAAAAGGGTGTTCCCACATGTGGACAGGTATAATTATATGGCTGAAGTTTTTAGTCTTTTCTAGGCAGAAAGAGTGCCCTCTTTATATCAGTGTTTTGACTAAATGCCTAGGAGTGAGAGAATAAGGAGATGGAAATGTACCAAGATAAGTGTATACCTGAGACTACTTTGGGAATTAAATTCAATGACT